GCAATGTATGCTTCAGACACGGGTCACGACGAGGCGTTCCCCATAGCGACCCCTAGAGGACGCAGTGTCTCGTTCCCTACTCAGGGAACCATGGTTACATAAGTAACCTGAGACGGTTTCCTGCCTGTTTTGAGGCGGGAGGAGCTACAAGCAGGAAGTACTCTTGTTTTAATTTCATTTCGGGGAGATATAGCTACGCTTAGTTTATCCAATTTAGTTTAAAAACATCTGTATAACACAAAAGATAGATTGGTTCTGTGCAAGTTGAGAGTTCATCTGTTGCTATACGTGGAGTTTGAGCTCGAGCTTCTCTGCTTTCATTGCATCTTTCAGCAGGACGCACGCAAAACACAAAAGTCGCGATCAAGACTGCCTGTGATAAGGTTGGACTATTAAATTTGCATTATTAAGTTATAAAAATTAGAGTTCTGATGGTAATTTAGTAAGATGATACAGAGAAATAAAACGCTTGAAAACGAAACTGAAATTAAAAACATGGGGCAAAAATAGAAAAAAAAATAGTGTTTTAAATAGGCTTTGTTTGGAATAACAAAGCATCTTCTAAATACTGTAATATTTGTCCAAAGTATAACACTTGTCTTGTTTTTTTTTTGTTGAGATTTACACACTCAAAACGCACATCCCCCCTCCTTTTTTTTTTTAATGCTCCAGCAGTGGCGCAGCAAGAATTGATTTTTGGCTGACTGCCAAAAATGGGTGGACAGATTTTTCCCATGCAGAGACAGACATTCCGTACACAAAACCGCGCCTCCATTTTCTATCAGCAGTGAACGACTGGAAGAGAACTAAACTCATATTAGACGACATTATCAAGTGCTTGCTATAACAGTATTAGTTTATGGTGAAGCAGACGCGACGTCTGTGTGTGTGTGTGCACTCTGTTCAGGGGTGTAGCACCGAATCTTGGGCCCTAGTAAATTCCCTGGTGAAGAAACCACCAGCAGGGTGTTAAAAGTAACAGTGAAGCAGTGTTAGAGTTGATCATTAACTCTATCTATAGTTTATCATTAGCAGGTTTCCGCCTCCTTCTTGTTACACATACATACTGTGCTTTTACCAGCTAAGGAACTGGTGATGAGCTTATAAAATGTGTAAAGGTGTCAAATCAGAGGCAGGAATTCCTCTGTCATACACAAAAATATATACTGCAAGTAGACGTGCTATTCTGATGCCTGTACCGAACTTTAATGGAAAACATTGTGATGAGAAAAAAACAAAAATGTGTTAGCTGGAGTAAGTAGGGCCTATGGTGTGATGATATACTGTATAATTATTGGTCTGCGTCTTGCACTGGAGGAAGGCACATGCAAATGTGTTTGCCTGTGTGACGTCATAGATAACACAATATCCAAACCAACCTATTATATGTCATAAGATAAAGGAAATGCCATGAACCTCTGAATTTTATGTTTTGTTAAAGGAATAGTTCACCCAAAAATTAAAATTCTACTTGCATTATGTAACTATCAGATGTATGCAAATGAAACATGCATTCACTTATTTACTCAGTGTTTTCTTAAATCACAGAAAGAATGACAACGAAACGGTGCAAAAGCATGGATGAACCTCGTAGTATGGCGTAAGTGAATGTCATTTTGCATTTATTCATTTAGCTCAGAATAATTTTGTGTATAAACCGAAATGTGATTGTTCACTATATTGTTGATTATAAATAAACAAAAATTCTAGGTTTAAAAAATCATTAGAACTGAAACACCCTTAGCATCCATAAAAAACCATGATTGTGCCACCGCAAATTGTTTGTCCTCCTCATAGGCAGGTTATTAAATACCTGTTTGATTTCAAAATGTGTTGATGCTAAATCAGTTCAATCAATCTTTTGCAGATTACATCATAATGCCGTACTAATTGATAAAGGTCCTCCAGCACTTTATCGTTTGAACACAGAAAGAAAATATATTGATGGGACTAATAAAAAGGTCAGACAGTGGACATATGGACGAAGAGACAGAAACAAGCAGAACAAAGTCATACTGATGGTGGGAGAAACCGGCACTGGGAAAACAACCATCATCAACACCATGATCAACTACTTACTGGGAGTGAAGTTTGATGATCAAGAGTTTTATCAAATCACAGAAGAAACTAATCGTAAAGATCAATCACAATCCCAGACATCAGAGATCACTGTTTATGAAGTGTTTGTTGAAGAAAACCCAACATCTCTGACCATCATTGACACTCCAGGATACGGAAACACTGAAGAACACGAGGAAGGATACGAGAAAGACCGAGAGATTTCTGAGTATCTGATGAGATTATTTTCAGATGAGGATGGGATTCATTATATTGATGCAGTGTGTTTTGTGATGAAGGCGTTTCAGAATCGACTCTCTGGAAAAGAGCTTTACATCTTTCACTCAGTTCTGTCTCTGTTTGGTAGAGATAGGAGGGAGAACATAGTGTTTCTACTCACATATTCAGATGCAGGACCTCCAACAGATGCTCTTAATGCCATTAAAACAGCAGAAATACCCTGCAGAAGAGATGAGAGAGAAAAACCTGTTCACTTCTTATTCAATAACCGACAGAAAGAGGAAAGAGATGAAGAGTATGTGCACACATTCAGATCATCATGGGAAATGGGAGAGAAAAGCGTGAATCGGTTCTTCACACTTCTGGATAGAATGAACAGAAAAAGTGTTCAGATGACATTAAATGTTCTGAAAGAGAGAAGACGACTTGAGGCCTGTGTCGACAGTCTGGTGGAACGAATCTCTGATAAAGAGTCAAAAACTGAAGAACTGAATCAGATTCAAGAAGCCCTCAGACAGAACAGAGACAAGATTAAGAGATGTGAAAACTTTCAGTTTACAGTCAATAGATTTTTCAAAGAAAAAGTCTTCATTGAAAATGAATGGTGGTGGAACAGTAAGGCAACCTGCTGCTCTGTCTGTCAGGAAAACTGTCATGAATGGGGCTGCTTGTGGGCAAAAGATCCCTCAGACTGCTGGGTCATGGAAAAAGAACACTGCACTTTGTGTACAAGGAAGTGTCATTACAGCAAACACGTCAAAGAGAACAAAAAATATGTGAAGAAGTCAAAGACCGACATTATGACATTTGATGTGCTCAAACAGGAGTATGAAGGCACTGATGAAAAGTCTAAAATCCGCTTCGACAAAACAAACTATGAAAATAATAAAAAGGAGCATGAAAGTATTGAGAAAGAGTCTAAGGATAAAACTAAAATAGAAATAATACTGAACCGCGAACTGGAGACGATTCAAAAAGAAAAGCCCATACTGCTGAATGAAGCTTACGTGATCATCATGAAACTCTCTGAGATCACATTAAAATCAGACAACGCTTTCACTCTTCAACATCTGGATTTCTTGATTCCCAGATGGAAGGAGGAGGGAAAAGATGAATGGATGAAGAACCTGGAGGATCTGAGGAAAGCTGGAGAAGAGAGGAAGAACAAAGGGGCTTTAGAGTATCTGGTGGCTTTTGGGAGACAAAAATGGAAAAAATTGTTCAATCGTGGTAAAAATGAATAAAATCTGAAAAGTCTAGATGCAAAAGCAAAACAGATGCTGCTCCATTAGTGAAAACAATTCACTAAAAAAAGGGTTTAATGAGCATAGGAAATCCTTTATTTTATCTCTCAAAAAATGTATATGATGTGAATCTGCAAACAGAATTCAAGACTGAACTGAACACGAAAAAAAAAAACACCATGCAATAAAACTAACTAATCTGGAGATATGATCTCAAAGAAAGAAATATAACCAAACGTATCTTCTCACCCATCAATAAACCCCCCTCTCCCTACTTTCCCTCCTTTCACTTTGGCTCAAGACCTGAAAAGCTAATCAAGAATTACTACATACCACACCTGATCATCTTATCAGTCTATTGTTTTTTCTTTATCTTTTCATTTTTGATATCATTTTAATCACCTCAGTGTGATCAGTAAAAAGGTCTCAATTTCACAGCAGTCATTTATATAATGTGATAGACTGAAAACAGGATAATTCTGTTCTCCTTTTTGGGTGGTGGATAGACCCAATCAACTTCTACAAATGTCTGGACAGTAAATGTTTACAGTTCTTTTGTTCTGATCTGGTGTATATTTCTAGTGTAACTAGAAAAGCTCCACACAGAGCTGTATCAGTGTCTTGAGTCCTGCACTCAGAACACTCACAACTGCTGTGTTTCTTTACTGTCAGATATGCATCTTCAACTCCTAGATTTATCTTTGAGCAACTGTTATGAATTGATCATTTCTGAATTGGCCTATATCTGTTTAATTGTGTTATTGGCATGATATATTTTACCTGACAAATAAAATGATCTACTTGTTTGATTATTTAAATCTCCTGAAGTCATTTATTTCTGGTAGATTAACCCCTGGTACACACTGCATGCCCTTGCGTAAAAAAAACAAACAAACGATATATATATATATATATTTCCTAATATATGAATGATCAATATATTAAATGATTAAATGTTATATTAGAAAATTTACAGAATAATATATTGTGAAAATATACTACATTGTGTATGTGTCATGCTCTCATTGGTTATTGTCTAGTCATGTGATTCCCTTGTCTGTAGGTGCGTTCGACTTCATGCGGCGCCGCGCAAACCGATCGGCGGCTGACTTGAAGCAGTGCATGCCGGTTAGAAATTTTGTCCGACCGGCGCAGATGCAGACACACGTCACTGTCACGTGTGGCATCAAAGTACCTCGATAGCGTTTCAAAAGCAGCCGGCTGACTCAGCTGGCGCAGCTTTTTCAGAGCGACTGCAGGAGCACTGATGACGACACAGCTGTTTCACGATTGGCCAAATTCACCACATGACAACAATGATGTGGAGGGGTTTCCAGTACGTAGAGGTTGCAGACAGGGGTGTCCCCTATCACCGTTATTGTTTACATTATATATTGAACCTTTGGCAGAATCTATCAGGACTAATCCTGACGTAACCGGGATCACAGTCAATTGGAAAAAGCATGTCATCTCTCTGTTTGCAGATGATGTCCTCTTGTATTTGGAGGACCTGCAGACGTCTATTCCAGCAGTTCTGAGTTCCTTAGCCTCGTTCAGTACTGTGTCGGGTTACAAAGTTAATTTAGGAAAATCTGTTTCTATGCCTTTTAATCATACCTGCAATCTTCCTATACAATCTCCTTTTCAGGTTTCAGATAGGGGTCTTAAATATTTGGGCATTTTTCTCACTCCCGACCTGAATAATTTGTTTGAGACAAATTATTCTCCTTTAATTAAAAAAATTAAGAAAGATTTGGAAAAGTGGACCTCCTTGCCAACTTCCCTTCTAGGGAGAGTTAACGTTATTAAAATTAATATTCTTCCCCGATTAAACTATCTGTTTCAAAATCTTCCATGCTATTTAACTACATCTTTCTTTAAATCATTGAATTCTCATATATCTCGTTATATCTGGAATAATAAGCAACAGAGAGTTGGTCTTTCTAAACTTTGTAAACCAAAGGATCTAGGGGGTCTTTCGCTGCCCAATTTTCAGCTTTATTACTGGGCTGCCCAACTCAAAACAATAACAAGCTGGGTTATGAACAGGCAGGATGCTCTGTGGATTGACTTTAAATCCTTATTTTGCTATCCTAGAAGATTAGAATCCCTCTGGTTTATTAATAATATAGACCAGATAAACTCTCTCACTGATAATGTAATTGTTTATAATACACTACTGGTTTGGAATGATGTGAAGAAACATTTGAACATTCCTCAAATTATCTCTATTCGTTCCCCTCTGGCTTTGAATCCTGATTTTCCCATTCAGATTAGGAGTCTGTTGGGGTGGAGTTTTAAGGGTTTGTCTGACTTTTCAGGGCTGTTGATTTCTGAATCTTTGAAGTCATTTGAACAAATCAGAGCAGAGTTTAACATTTTCTCTTAAGATTTCTTCAAATACTTTCAAATCCGGCATTTCATAGAGTCTCTTTTAAGGCAGAACAAATTTCGTTTAAATTGATCAGAATGGGAAGAAACCATAATTTCAGTTAAACCTTTTAAAGGGATTATCTCCAAATTTGATGCTTTATTGGTGTATTCTGACTCTTCAGTTTATGATTCTTTGAAACCACTGTGGGAACAGGACCTAGGAGTATCATTTAATTCTGCAGATTGGACCAAGATCTGTAACAGCGTTTTTCCAAAATGTACTTAAATTTTAAGACATACAAGGGCACATTTTTTCACGTATTCTGGTCCTGTGATCACATACAACCATTCTGGAAAGGGGTTCATTCTGTAACCCAGGAGATAACGGAAACGTTATATTTAATCTCCTTCACTTTATTTGTTGAATGACACTCCTAAAGATCTTTTTGACTCGGACTCTAAGCCTTTGTTTATTATCCTCTAATTTTTGGCTAAAAAATGTATTCTACTGAAGTGGTCTACGCCTCAAGTTCCAACTGTTACTATGTCTCCAGAAAGCTGGGGTGATGCTCTGACAATCTACTGTCCGCAGGAGACACATTACAGACACAGAATTACAGAGAGTACACTGCAAGATACAAACCTCTAACCAGCACCAAAAATAGAAAGGCAAGATTAGAGTTTGCAAAAGCCAGTAGAGTGTTGGAACAGAGTTTTATGGACAGATGAGACAAAGATGAACCTTTATCTAAGTGATGGGAAAGCAAATGTGTGGAGAAAAACGGGAACTGCAAATGATCCTAAGCATACAGCCTCAGCTGTAAAGCATAGTGGAGGTGGTGTCATGGCGTGGGCATGCATGGCTGTCTCTGGAACAGGCCCTCTCAACTTTAATGATGACTTAATGTATGATGACCGTAGCAGAATGAATTTGGAAGGGTACAAAACCATCTTGACTACCAATATTCAAGAAAATGCCACCAGACAAGACAAGACATGACAACTCCAGTCAAGGAGTTTTATCAGGGCAAAAAAATGTAAAGTCTTAGATTGCCCAAGCCAATCTCCAGATTTAAATCTGATTGAACATGAATTTCACCAGCTGAAGAGGAGACTAAAGGCAGAAACGCCCCAAAACAAGCAACAGTTGGAATTGGCTGCATTAAAGGCATGGGAAAAAGCATTTCAAGGGTCAAGGGTCTGGTGATGTCTGTGGGTCGCAGACTCACTGCTCTGATTGCATGCCAGGGATCTGCAACAAAATAATAGCTTTTAATCTTTTACATCAGCCTTAAGTTCAACTGTTCCAATACTCATGCTCACATCAGATAGTGGGATGAACTCTAAAAATACTGTCCTTTTATTTGGTAAAACATTTATGTGTTGAAATGGCTAAAAATAAAATGTGACATTCTCTAGTTTTGTCTCATATTCATCTTTTAATCATATTTCCAAAGGTCTTGACTCCACAGCAAACAGAGCAATTTTGTCTTTACTGTTCCAATACTTATGGAGGGCACTGTGTATATGTATGTATATCCAGAGAATAATAATCAAAATATTCTCCAGTCTAGAGAATAATAATAATAAATATAGCTGCAAGCAGCAATTACGGGGCTAAGCACTCCAGAGGCAAAATTGAGGAGCTAGGCATGGCATAGATCATCAGACCAACTGCCACAATGAGTAATTAAAGCAAGTTTAGGATTATTTGAAGCAAAATGACTGAAAAATCATAAACACAACTTCTTGTAATATGATTTAAAAAATCCTACAATCTTACATTGCTTTGTTTGCTTTCTTTTGTTTGTTGTGTATTTACATTTTTGGCTATATGTAGCTGTATTAACCTGAATGGAATGTTTTCTATTTTGTATTTAATAAATCATTTTATTAAATTACATTTTTGACAATATATGTTATGTGGTGTCTGCATCCATTTCAGATGTATAATAACGTTTTTTCCCAAAGACTTAAGTTATAGTAGCTGAAAAGTATTTAAAGTGAAACAGATGTATTGTTATAGATCAGGGGTGCATCCTGTTCCTGGAGATATACCTTTCTACAGAGTACAGTTCCAACCCTGATTAAACAAACCTGTCTGTAATTACCAAGTGCTCCTTCAGATCCTAATTTGTTGGTTCAGGTGTGTTTGATCAGGACCAGGTTGGGCACCCCTGTTGTAGATTAATAGTGTGGGCTAAGTGAGGGCTGCCCGTGCAGGGCCAGCACTAAGGGGCCAACGTTTTGCCAATGAGCAAAATCTCAGAGGCCCTGCGCTGGCAGCCCGCTGGGGGCCCTCAGGCTAGCCCTAAGTGGGCCCATAAAGGGTCAGTGCAGGCGTGTTTGCAGGGAAGTTATTAGCATTTTTAGAAATTTCATTGTAACTTTTGACCACAAGGTGGCGCTGCCCCCAAACTTTTTGAGTAGCATCAGGGCATGGTGTCGGAGATGCACACAGAGTTTCGTAACGATACGTCAATGCATTCGTAAAAAAACCTGCATTTTTTATTTTGTTATAAAATGCTGATGCCCAAAATGGCTGACATGGGAAATTTGGGTATGGTTCGACTTGGCATGCTCCACCGAATCTAAAGAGACCAGGTTTATGATTTTTGGCCAAACCATTCAGAAGTTATAAGCAAAAATATGCATTTTTTATATCTCCTGACCACTAGGTGGCACTGCGCCGAAACACTGCAGGTAGTCTCAGGTCATGCTTGTTATAACACACACCAAGTTTGGCCTCAATACGCCAAACCGTTGCAGAGGTATAGGCTCACATGCATTTTTTCGTGCTTTTCGAAGAATTCGTTCGCGCGTTATTCGAGAACGGTTTGATGAATCAACTTGAAATCCATAACTTTTTGCCAGCATGGTCTGAAGATGATCTGAGCCAATTTTGGTGAAAATAAGACAAATCGTCTAGGACGAGTTCGAAAAAGTAGATTTTTCGAACTATTAAAAATAGCAAAAAAAACTAAACCTTACGATTTTTAAATTTTGGAGTTCATTCGACTCGGCATGCGCCAAGGATTCAGAGGAAAAAAGAAGTAAAAAAGTTATTTGCATAAACATGAGTGAAAATTCGGACAAGTGGTGGTGCTAGAGAGTTTGAGATAAAGACTCCAAATTTGCTATGGTTAATGTTGAGACTGTCCTCTATCAGTGTGCAAAAATGTCACCACTTTCCCGCAAGCAGTTGTATGGGCTGCCATAGACTCGAGCGGAAAAACGGAAGAAGAACGCCAACAGATACAATAGGTGCCTATGCACCTTCGGTGCTTGGCCCCTAAATATAGCTGCAAACAGCAATTATCAGGGCCAAGCACAAAGAGCACGATAAGCCATGCCATCATGGCTGGGAGTGTCAGACTAGCTTCAACAACAAGCAAGAAACGACATT